CCACCTATTATTCATGTGGGCGTTACTCTTCCGACCTCATCATCATTGCAGAGCAACTATCTCTTATCTGCCATGAAGCATACCTCACTCGGCCTCCTCCACAGAGGCCGATCTCCACTCCTGGCACCAGTCATCGGCAGGTCCGATCACCTCCACATCCTCCAATCTCTTCTCTAGCCAATGCCATGCCTGATCAGCCCCTAATATCTGGACAAAAAGCTGGTTGATCATGCAGTATCTGGGAATGCGGGATTCATGACCAAACCAATGCAGCCTCGCCTGCCAAAGAAACTCAAGATTATATTCTATATTGATATCTTAAGGGTCTGTAAGCTTCTAAATAGAATATAAACTGGTTGAATAGAGGATAAATCATTGGCAGGCCAGCCTTCACTGTATAAGCCAGCACAGATGGTCATTTACAGTGAGGGAAAAAAGTATTTGATCCCCTGCTGATTTTGTACGTTTGCCCACTGACAAAGAAATGATCAGTGTATAATTTTAATGGTAGGTTTATTTGAACAGTGAGAGACAGAATAACAACAACAAAATCCAGAAAAACGCATGTCAAAAATGTAATAAATTGATTTGCATTTGAATGAGGGAAATAAGTATTTGACGCCCTCTCAATCAGAAAGATTTCTGGCACCCAGGTGCCTTTTATGCAGGTAACGAGCTGAGATTAGGAGCACATTCTTAAAGGGAGTGCTTCTAATCTCAGCTTGTTACCTGTATAAAAGACACCTGTCCACAGAAGCAATCAATCAATCAGATTCCAAACTCTCCACCATGGTCAAGACCAAAGAGCTCTCCAAGGATGTCAGGGACAAGATTGTAGACCTACACAAGGCTGGAATGGGCTACAAGACCATTGCCAAGCAGCTTTGTGAGAAGGTGACAACAGTTGGTGCTATTATTCGCAAATGGAAGAAACACAAAAGAACTGTCAATATCCCTCGGCCTGGGGCTCCATGCAAGATCTCACCTCGTGGAGTTGCAATGATCATGAGAACGGTGTGGAATCAGCCCATAACTACACGGGAGGATCTTGTCAATGATCTCAAGGCAGCTGGGACCATAGTCACCAAGAAAACAATTGGTAACACAATACGTCGTGAAGGACTGAAATCCTGCAGCGCCTGCAAGGTCCCCCTGCTCCAGACAGCACATATACATGCCCGTCTGAAGTTTGCCAATGAACATCTGAATGATTCAGAGGAAAATTAGGTGAAAGTGTTGTGGTCAGATAAGACCAAAATGGAGCTCCTTGGCATCAACTCAACTCGCCGTGTTTGGAGGAGGAATGTTGCATATGACCCCAATAACACCATCCCAACCGTCAAACATGGAAGTGGAAACATTATGCTTTGGGGGTGTTTTTCTGCCAAGTGGACAGGCCAACTTCACCGCATCAAAGGGATGATGGATGGGGCCATGTACCGTCAAATATTAGGTGAGAACCTCCTTCCCTCAGCCAGGGCATTGAAAATGGGTCGTGGATGGGTATTCCAGCATTACAATGACCCAAAACACACGGCCAAGGCAACAAAGGAGTGGCTCAAGAAGCACATTAAGGTCCTAGAGTGGCCTAGCCAGTCTCCAGACCTTAATACCATAGAAAATCTGTGGAGGGAGCTGAAAGTTCGAGTTGTTATTTTATTTTATAAATTTGTTATTTTATTATCATTCTATGTGGTGACTTTACCGAAAGAACCACAGTGAGAATATTATTATTTTATTTTATCAATTTTATTATTTTATTCTCATTCCACGTGGTGGTGACTTTACCGAAAGAACCACAGTGAGAATATTGTTATTTTATTTTATCAATTTATTATTTTATTCTCATTCTACGTGGTGGTAACTTTACCGACAGAACCACACAGTGAGAATATTATTGTGTTATTTTATTTCATCAATTTATTATTTTATTCTCAATCTACGTGGTGGTGACTTTACCGACAGAACCAAAGAAGGTTAAAGCGAGAGAATTAAAGCAAACGCAATCAGGCGATGGGCAGGAGGCGAGGCCCCGCATGGCTAGGCCCCGCGTTGTAATGTTCCGACCAGGACGTCGATTCCATTACTCGCTGCTACTCAATTGATATCCCAACGAGAGAGAGAGGAGCGAGGCTGTACCTGGGTAAACAACAACAACACCACAACAACACCACCACAACAACAACCACGATGTGAATTTCTCACCTCGTAGTGTCTCAGTGAGAGCAGGCGCGCGCGTAGTGCAGAAGCTTCCCGCTATATCGTGACGTCACGCGGCAGCAGGTGACGTGACGTCACTCGCGTGGTCTCAACGCACAATCCCCTCCCCCCAACGAGCGGCGGTGTAACTGAATAAATTATGTTAATGAGACATGCTCACGTCCATTGATGGATGAGGCGTGGTATGCTGAACCCGGCACAATGAACTCGCGACGGTATTTATGAATAAATTATGTTAATGAACCGCCAGTGACCGGGCGTAGCTCTGCCCAAATATGGATTTTTACTCGAACGGAAATCGGCAGTGACCAAGCAGACGTGACGTCACGCTCAAAAGCGCGGTGGAGGGGGGGTGAATACCTTGGTGACATGACGTCACCAGAGAGGTACATCTCCCCTAGGCGTCTCACACCGATGAGGTAATGCGAAGTTGTGACGTCAGAGAGCGGGGGATTTGAGTTTATTTATATTCCTTTTCCATTTCTCTCTTGAACAGAGACCCCTTGAGTGCGTGAGCTCAACAACAACGTGGTTAATCTCTGGTTCTATTGGGTAAAGTCACGTAGGTAAAAAATAAAATAACAAAACTCACGACGTTTCGGCCACAACACAAGCGGCCTTCATCAGGTGAAGGGGCGAGACTGTCTGGTAGGACAGCGCTGGAGTGAAAAAAGCCACGCTCAGATCACGACCTTTAAGCTGTGTCAGAAGAAACAAAGCGCCTTGACAAAGGAATTAGCATATAATTTGGCATTGAAATGGCCGAGTGATTAGCTTGTGACTGGTCACAGAAATGGCTATGTTAAAGTTAAAGCATACACATCTTTGTCATCTGGCCATGGCCAGCCTGCTCTAGACCAATTTCGCGACCACATCAATTCCATACACCCAGCCATCAGATTTACCATGGAGGTCGAAAAAGATGGCAAACTACCCTTTTTGGATGTCTTAATTAAAAGGAGACATGATGGTTCAATGAGCCACTCTGTCTACAGGAAAGCCACCCATACAGATGCTTACTTGAAACCGGATTCCCACCACCATCCATCCCAGAAGAACTCCCTCATCAAGACTCTATACCATAGAGCCCAATGCATATCCGACCAGGAACACATTACCAGTGAACTCAAGCACGTACACCAGGCTCTCAGGGCTAATGGTTACTCCGACTACACAATCAGCAAAGCCATCACTCCAGTCATGAAGAAGGATTCTCTTGTGGAGCCACTCAAAACCATCACCTTACCCTACATTGCAGGGGTCACTAAAAAGATCTCCAAAATCCTGAATAAACACAAGATCCAGGTCCGATTCAACACTACATAAAATCCGTGATCTGATTACACGTGTAAAAGATGCTGTTCCAGACATACAGTACCCGGGCGTTTATAAACTAAAGTGCCTCTGTGGTAGTAGCTACATTGGAGAAGCCAAACGACATATCTCGGACCGCATCCACGAACATAAAGCAGACTTGAAACACGGTAGGACGAACTCCTCTGCCGTGGCAGATCGCTGTTACAATTCAGTGGGCTCACATGACATTGACTTCAACCAAGAGCGAGGTTCTTTGCAAGCCAACCGGCTACCATGAGAGATTCGTTCATGAGGCCACCCACATATACAAGCACAGAGACAATTTCAACCGAGAAGATGGATTCTGGCTTAGTAACCACTGGAAAGATGTTTTAAATCATTTGTTCTTAATTAATTGTATTTTTACGATGACCTTCAGACCGCAGCTCTTTCGCCAGCATTGCCTCTTAATACCTCTCACACCACGGTTAATGGTATAGTTTTACAACATGGAGTATACTAGGGCCTCGCAGCTGTCTCTCTCCCCCTCCTCTGTTCCGACCATGGACGAATTCGTCCGTCTGAACGGGGCCCGTAGCTATCCGTGGTGCTGAAATTTGAGGGTAAGAATCCACCCATTTTTTCGCCATATAGCATTGTGATATATAACGACTTATTGTTGGTAGCTTAGCTGATTGGAGAATATAGAGTTTATTGATAACATGAAGGTAATTTATATTTTAGTTTTTATTGGTTCACTATATAGTACTGTGAATAGCTCAGATGTGTAGTCATTTCTGTGACCAGTCACTAGCTAATCACTCAGTTATTTCAATGCTAAATTCGCCTAGTTATTTCAATGCTAAATTCTCCTGTTTGATTTGTACTAAGGGCCTCGGTGAATGTGTATGCTCTGACTTTAACGTAGCTATTTCTGCAGCAGGTACAAGCTAATCACTCAGCTATTTCAATGCTAAATTCTATGCTAATTCCATTGTCAAGGGGTGCCTCTGCGGATGTGTATGCCTTAACTTAGCTATTTCAATGCTAAATTCTATGCTAATTCCTTTAACAATGGGTGCCTCTGCGGGTGTGTATGCTTTAACTTTTAACACAGCTATTTCTGTGACCAGTCACAAGCTAATCATTCAGCCATTTCAATGCTAAATTATATGCTAATTCCTTTGTCAAGGCGCTTTGTTCCTCTCACACAGCTTAAAGGCCGTGATCTGAACGTGGCTCTTTCACTTCAGCGCTGTCCTACCAGACAGTCTCGCCCCCTTCACCTGATGAAGGCCGCTTGTGTTGTGGCCGAAACGTCGTGAGAATATTATTGTGTTATTTTATTTTATCAATTTATTATTTTATTATCATTCTACGTGACTTTACCGAAAGAACCAAAGAAGATGAATCATTGCAGTCACGAAAGCTTTAAATCGAAATCTACCTCACCTTCATCAAGACCCTGCCCTTTTGTCATGAGGTCTGCAACCAAATGGTCCATGGCCCATGTGGCCAGTTCTATCCAAATGCGCCAAGTATGCAAGACCACAGCCGTACCAAGACGTATCCATGCAACTACTTGAAAGACGCTCAAGTTGGCCCATGATGGCTATCCTCTTATATCTTCACAGAAATGCTGAGCATGGTGGATTTCAAACAACGCTCAGACCTGCCACTAACTCGCTAATTCAGGTTCACAATCGATGGATCGTTTACCTACTGCCCTCCCCTGTGCAAGATCTTCCACCATCTTCATGAAGCTATGACAGAAGCTTCTGATGCTCAGTCCCGTTTCCCAACTGACATTTACCTTCTGCAAGATTCTTCAAGTTTGCAGCCCATCTAACCCCATGGGGACTCTGCCAAAAAATACAAAGAGGGCATGAGTAAGGACATCCTCCACGGAGCTCAATGACAAAATACAAACCTCGACGTCAACTTCTCTGATGTGATCTTCAAACAGGCCCTCATCCTCCTTCAGGACAAACTGCACTGCATTGGTGCTAAATACCTCGCGTCTATGGGATTACCAACGCCCTACACGGACAACCTGCATGCCCTTGCTCAAGAGGCCCTACGTTAAATATGCTATTGTGCTGTCTCGGGTGTGGACCAATCAAATTCAAGGACAGTGCATATTATTATCAGAGTTGTCTTTTTTGTTTGCATTTTGACTGCTTGTGTTGTGGTTATTGCAAACATGATGCCTTGAATAAAGGTGTCAGTTTTTTGTGCCAGTTAAAAGGGTAAAACCTATTCCTATGCCATTGTGCTTCAACGGCTTCGTAAATTTAATCACGAAAATTAACCAAGGCTCACGCGTGCACAAAGTCAAGCCCACACGAACATCTTGGAAGACATTGAGACTACAAATTGAGTCTTTTTTGTTTTTCCCCTTGACGCACCTGCCAGTACTGGGAAGACTTTTGTTTTCAAACTGCTCCTCGCTAAGGCTCGCCAGAGAGAGAGACAATTGCTCTAGCTGTGGCATCATCGGGGATTGCTGTGCAAGTCTTTGTGTGTGTAAGTCGATGTGTGTGTAAGTCGATGTGTGTGTAAGTGGATGTGTAAGTCGATGTGTGTGTAAGTGGATGTGTGTGTAAGTGGATGTGTGTGTAAGTCGATGTGTGTGTAAGTCGATGTGTGTGTAAGTCGATGTGTGTGTATGTCGATGTGTGTGTAAGTCGATGTGTGAGTCGATGTGTGTGTCGGTCGATGTGTGTGTAAGTCGATGTGTGTGTAAGTCGATGTGTGTGTAAGTCGATGTATGTATCAGTCGATGTGTGTGTGTAAGTTAATGTGTGTGTGTAAGTCAATGTGTGTGTGTGTAAGTCAATGTGTGTGTATCTAAAGTCCATGTCTGTCTGTGTGTGTGTAGGCCAATGTCTGTGTGAGTCTAAGCAGGGAATTAAAGCAAACGCAATCAGGCGATGGGCAGGAGGCGAGGCCCCGCATGGCTAGGCCCGGCGTTGTAATGTTCCGACCTGGACGTCGATTCCATTACTCGCTGCTACTCAATTGATATCCCTACGAGAGAGAGAGAGAGGAGCGAGGCTGTACCTGGGTAAACAACAACAACAACCACCACCACAACAACAACACGACAACAACAACAACCACGATGTGAACTTCTCACCTCGGCTCACAGTGAGCGCGCGCGTAGAGTACGGCAGCTTCCTGGTGTCTCGTGACGTCACGCGGCAGCAGGTGACATGACGTCACTAGCGGGGTACACCTCCCCCCTCACGCCGAAGAGGTAATGCAGCGGTGACGTCAGAGAGCGGGGTTAGAGTTCAAGTTTATTAAGATTCCTATTCCATTGATCCCTCTATTGAACATTGACCCTTTGGTGTGCGTGAGCTCAACAACGTGAACATTGTGTATACAGTGTGTGTGTACAAACTGTGTATGTGTGTACAAACTGTGTATAAGTGTGTGTGTACAACCTTTGTATAAGTGTGTGTACAAACTGTGTATAAGTGTGTGTGTACAAACTGTGTATAAGTGTGTGTACAAACTGCGTATAAGTGTGTGTACAACCTGTGTATAAGTGTGTGTGTGTACAAACTTTGTATAAGTGTGTGTGTACAAACTGTGTATAAGTGTGTGTGTACAAACTATATAAGTGTGTGTGTACAAACTGTGTATAAGTGTGTGTGTACAAACTGTGTATAAGTGTGTGTGTGTACAAACTGTGTATAAGTGTGTGTGTGTGTGTACAAACTGTGTGTAAGTGTGTGTGTACAAACTGCGTATAAGTGTGTGTGTACAAACTGTGTATAAGTGTGTGTACAAACTGTGTATAAGTGTGTGTACAAACTGTGTATAAGTGTGTATGTACAAACTGTGTATACAGTGTGTGTGTACAAACTGTGCATAAGTGTGTGTACAAACTGTGTATACAATGTGTGTGTACAAACTGTGTATACAATGTGTGTGTACAAACTGTGTATAAGTGTGTGTGTACAAACTGTGTATAAGTGTGTGTACAAACTGTGTATACAGTGTGTGTACAAACTGTGTATACAGTGTGTGTGTACAAACTGTGTATAAGTGTGTGTGTACAAACTGTATATAAGTGTGTGTGTACAAACTGTGTATAAGTGTGTGTGTACAAACTGTGTATACAGTGTGTGTACAAACTGTCTATAAGTGTGTGTACAAACTGTGTATAAGTGTGTGTGTACAAACTGTGTATAAGTGTGTGTGTACAAACTGTGTATAAGTGTGTGTGTACAAACTGCGTATACAGTGTGTGTACACACTGTGTATAAGTGTGTGTACAAACTGTGTATAGTGTGTGAACAAACTGTGTATACAGTGTGTGTACAAACTGTGTATAAGTGTGTGTGTACAACCTGTGTATAATGTGTGTGTACAAACTGTGTATAAGTGTGTGTGTACAAACTGTGTAAATAGTGTGTGTACAAACTGTGTATACAGTGTGTGTGTGTACAAACTGTGTATAAGTGTGTGTGTGTACAACCTGTGTATAAGTGTGTGTGTACAAACTGCGTATACAGTGTGTGTGTACAAACTGCGTATAAGTGTGTGTGTACAAACTGCGTATAAGTGTGTGTGTACAAACTGTGTATAAGTGTGTGTGTACAAACTGTGTATAAGTGTGTGTGTACAAACTGTGTACAAACTGTGTATGTGTGTACAAACTGTGTATAAGTGTATGTGTACAAACTGTGTATACAGTGTGTGTACAAACTGTGTATAGTGTGTGAACAGTGTATACAGTGTGTGTACAAACTGTGTATAAGTGTGTGTGTACAAACTGTGTATACAATGTGTACAAACTGTGTATAAGTGTTTGTACAAACTGTGTATAAGTGTGTGTGTGTACAAACTGTGTATACAGTGTGTGTACAAACTGTGTATAAGTGTGTGTGTACAAACTGTGTATACAATGTGTACAAACTGTGTATAAGTGTGTGTACAAACTGTGTATACAATGTGTACAAACTGTGTATACAGTGTGTGTACAAACTGTGTATACAATGTGTGTGTACAAACTGTGTATACAGTGTGTGTGTGTACAAACTGTGTATACAATGTGTACAAACTGTGACGGTCACACATTTGTGACGATATGTGACGAGGGGGGGGGGGGTGACGTCACATCAAAATGTGCAACTTTAAATATAAAAACGTTCTATTTAATTAAATAGACTTTAAAATATTTTCTCCTACATCAGAGTGTAGCGCCACATTAAATACGCACTACAATGACTATAGTTTAAAGCGATTTGAAGAATGTGTTTTTATTTGGAGGGTTTAAAATGGTTAAATTTCGACTTAAAGCTTTCGTGACTGCAAGGATTCATCTTCTTTGGTTCTTTCGGTAAAGTCACGTAGAATGAGAATAAAATAATAAATTGATAAAATAAAATAACACAATAATATTCTCACGACGTTTCAGCCACAACACAAGCGGCCTTCATCAGGTGAAGTGGACGAGACTGTCTGGAGGACAGCGCTGTAGTGTGAAAGCCACGCTGAGATCACGACCTTTAAGCTGCGTGAAGAAACAAAGCGCCTTGACAAAGGAATTATCATAGAATTTAGCATTGAAATGGCTGAGTGATTAGCTCGTGACTGGTCACAGAAAAGGCTATGTTAAAGTTAAAGCATACACATCCGCAAAGGCACCCCTTGACAAAGGAATTAGCATAGAATTTAGCATTGAAATAGCTAAGTTAAAGTATACACATCCGCAGAGGCACTCCTTGACAAAGGAATTAGCATAAAAATTTGCATTGAAATAGCTGAGTGATTAGCTTGTAACTGGTCACAGAAATAGCTATGTTAAAGTCAGAGCACACACATTCACCGAGGCACCTAGTACAAATCAAACAGGAGAATTTAGCATTGAAATAACTAAGCGAATTTAGCATTGAAATAACTGAGTGATCAGCTTGTGACTGGTCACAGAAATGGCTATGTTGAAGTCACGGCCAACACATCTGAGCTATTCACAGTAACTGGGTATACAATACAATATATAATGAATACTATATAGTGAACCAATAAAAAATACTAAAATATAAATTACCTCAATGTTATCAATACACTCTATATTCTCCAATCAGCTAAGCTACCAACAATAAGTCGTTATATATCACAATGTTATATGGCGAAAAATGGGTGGATTCTTACCCTCAACTTTAGCAATACGGATAGCTACGGGTCCCGTTCAGACGGACGAGTTCATCCATGGTCGGAACAGAGGAGGGGGAGAGAGACAGCTGTGAGGCGCTGTTATACTCCATGTTGTAAACCATACCTTTAACCGTGGTGTGAGAGGTATTAAGAGTCAATGCCAGCGAAAGAGCTGCGTTCTGAAGGTCATTGTAAAATACAATTAATTAAGAACGGAAATGGTTTAAAACATCTTTCCAATGGTTACTAAGCCAGAATCCATCTTCTCGGTTGAAATTGTCTCTGTGCTTGTATATATGGGTGGCCTCATGAACGAATCTCTCATGGTAGCCGGTTGGCTTGCAAATAACCTCCGTCTTGGTTGAAGTCAATGTCATGTGAGCCCACTGAATTGTAACAGCGATCTGCCACGGCAGAGGAGTTCGTCCTACCGTGTTTCAAGTCTGCTTTATGTTCGTGGATGCGGTCCGAGATATGTCGTTTGGCTTCTCCAATGTAGCTACTACCACAGAGGCACTTTAGTTTATAAACGCCCGGGTACTGTATGTCTGGAACAGCATCTTTTACACGTGTAATCAGATCACGGATTTTATGTAGTGTTGAATCGGACCTGGATCTTGTGTTTATTCAGGATTTTGGAGATCTTTTTAGTGACCCCTGCAATGTAGGGTAAGGTGATGGTTTTGAGTGGCTCCACAAGAGAATCCTTCTTCATGACTGGAGTGATGGCTTTGCTGATTGTGTAGTCGGAGTAACCATTAGCCCTGAGAGCCTGGTGTACGTGCTTGAGTTCACTGGTAATGTGTTCCTGGTCGGATATGCATTGGGCTCTATGGTATAGAGTCTTGATGAGGGAGTTCTTCTGGGATGGATGGTGGTGGGAATCCGGTTTCAAGTAAGCATCTGTATGGGTGGCTTTCCTGTAGACAGAGTGGCTCATTGAACCATTGAACTAATGGTTACTCCGACTATACAATCCGCAAAGCTATCACTCAAACCATGAAGAAGAACCCTCTTGAGGAGCCTTTCAAAACCATCACTTTACCCTACATTGCTGGGATCACAAAAAAGATCTCCAAAATCTTGAATAAATACAAGATCCAGGTCCGTTTCAACACATTACATAAAATCCGTAATCTGGTTCCGTCTGTAAAAGATGTGATTCCAGACATACAATACCCTGGTGTCTACAAACTAAGTTGCCTCTGTGGTAGTAGTTACATTGGAGAAACCAAACGCCATATCTCGGACCGCATTCGTGAACATAAAGCAGACCTTAAACACGGTAGGACCAACACCTCGGCCGTAGCAGATCATTGTTATAATTCAGTAGGCTCACATGACATTGACTTCTCCAAGACGGAGGTTCTTTGTAAGCCATCTGGCTTCCATGAGAGATTCGTTCATGAGGCTATCCACATATACAAACACAGAGACAATTTCAACCGAGAAGATGGATTCTATCTTAGCAATCATTGGAAAGATTTGATAAATCATTTCAGTTCTTGATTGATTGTTCACGCTTACAGTGGCTTTCAGACAGCATACATAAAAACAAATTTCGTCTCCCCCCTCCTCTTTTCAAAAAATAGATGGACTAGTCCTGGGCAAACTGCCAATCGTTGCGCGTGACGCAAACGTTATTTTTTATATATATAAATAAATAAATATGCCGTTTTCAAAATACATTTATGCAAACCGACACACCTGATGATGACCGTTTGAGTTATGGTCGAAACGTCGTGAGAATTTTTTATTGTTTTATATATATTTTGTTATTTTGTTGTTTCTCTTCAACGTGACTTTACCGAAAAAACTAAGAATAAGCCTTTGCTATGTTAGCTGAATTTTGCTTTTATAAATATTGCTATTGTTGCCTGGCAGCCAAAATTGTGTGCTTGGTGTTTTGGGTTAATATTTATTTTGAAGATACTAGGGCCTCCAGGCATATTTATAACCATTTGCCCTCTCATTGTGTGCCTTCACAGCCCATGTGATGGATTGGGGAATATATTGAATATATGAATACATATAGACATGTAAGTCATGTTTGACTATGTCTATAAATGTATTCCTCTGTGCCTCAATACTGACGTAGATGGTGTGGATATTTTTTTCTGTCTGCAGCTGACGCGTCTTCTGACGTTTCCTCAGCAGAATTGGTCTGATGGAGCAAAGGCACTCGGCGCAGCCCGGTTCAACAAGACAACAATGGGACCAGGA